TTCAGTTCATGGGCAGTTTATTTCTGTTGCTGTTCGGTCCATTTACAGTAATTCAGCCACAGGGAGCTCCAGTCAAACTAACGCCGAATTTCTAAAGATATCTATTGATAGAGGGAAGAGAGCGTAGGACAAAATATGGGCATAAATTTATCAGTGAAATTAATCGGAAACTGCGACCTTCAAGGACATGCCAATAGTAGTAGTTTAGTAGGTTACCAATTGACGAGACAATTAGCTCTTCCGCTCGACTCCAGACTTAACCCTTAATGATGCGCTCTCAGTGTGGGCTTCACGGAAGTCCACGCATGAGCGGACAAGGGAAATACACATATGTTTCCTGTTGAGTGAAAGGTCAGCATGCATAGCACAAGCTCAGACGCATTTATCTACGTCAGCCACTGCGACCTACGTTCATATTCTGTCATCTTGATTCTGTCCGGACCATTGGAACGCGATGAGGTATTAGACCAAGCAACACGAAACAGGAGACAAGATGCCTGAGATAGTAAACTTCATATTTTCAACAAGGCAGCCATAATTTAACAGAGATATACTCCGTTAATTCGAATAACTAGTCTGATCAGACCCTCCGAGTGTGCCGCAGCCTGAGAGCTGGCGTCGTGCCTCACCACTGTCTGTTCGGCCATCTGTGTGCCAAGATATCTCTCTACTTTCCCGACATGGCTCCTCTGCTCGTTGTACCACCAGATCCGAAAAACCATCCTAGATGTATACTTCCGTGGTGGTTGCGTATGACTCTTTGCCGTGAATGCACTACTTACGATTGTGTTTCTGGTCGACGTTGGACTCCTTTCAGCGACTACCTCAGGGTAGACACTCTAACGTGTCCTCTTCCTTGAATTCAAAATAACTTCAACGGCGTCGCTGAACATAACTGTAAAATCACCTCTGCTAATCTATTGCGCGTTTTGTCATAGTGTCATTTTATTTTACGTGAGATTCTGTATTTTAGTTTCCAATTGAAAAGCAGGGGTTTGCCTGTACTAACCCCATGCTTAAGGTTATGGAGACCCGATGTTTCAAGACATGGTTAACCACCCTCAAGTCACAAGCGAACGGAAGCTACAAGTGTGGAATTAGACTAGGGTCTCCGCTCAGGTCAACAAGTCTGAGTTTCGCACCCAAGCGTATCATTCTTCGACGAGGAAGACCGTGAGTTCTGTCTCAACTCCCTCTTTCTGTCTCACAAGTAGTCTTTGGAGTGGCCAAGCTCAGTTCTGGCCGAAGTAAAATCGATCTACAGGTATTTTTTATCATTTAAGTTCCATGTATTTGCTTTATAAGCGGTCGGTCGTAATCCACGGGTGTCATTGATAGCTCTGTATCGGCAGTTGAAACTTGTGCGTCAGACAACAGCGAAGGCGACTTGTAAAGCTTCTACCTTGCGATTTTATCGTCACCATCCTTATGTAGTAATAATTTATAGACAAGACAAAAAGTAACGGTTGTGAGCGCTCTGATTAACCAGACACTTTTCTGCATCGACGTGCGGCACAAACCCAAACTCGAACCTGATCAGCAAGGACCTCACTTCGGTAAGAGCTGCAATATGGCCACACGGGGTCTCGCGTTGGAGCCACGAATGCTCAAAGTTAGACAAACGGCCATGTCCTGCTCGTAGCTGGATCGAGTCCGGTGGGTTAAACTTGTGAAGCTTCTAACGACTCCTATTCTTCGTGAGAAATAATGAGATCTTGTCTGGGTTAGGAGGGTCTAGTTAGCTGGATGTGTGCACAAAAATGTTCACTTGGAACGATCCGGTATCGAAACGTGTGCTCACACTGCTGTCTGGTGAGGATGTGAGTCAACAGCATGTACAATGACTCTCGGCTTAATATCCTCGGTGATATCATAATTGGTGCTCAACAAATGTGAGCCCTGAATATACGTTGACCTATGAAACGACGTTGGGCGCCATCCCGTAGTATGACCTGTTCGAAGGCTGGGTAGGTTGTGGTTCGCATATGTATGCCTATTTGGGGCCGGCCTAAATTCACAGTGCTGATTCCTAGAAAATAACATTGGAATCAATCACCAATCGAGCTTGGTGGGTTGGCCACAAAGTCTTTGTGATGAATGTTTTCGGGGCAGAGTGTATGCAGCCGAGGTTCTGCCTTCTCCTGAATCTCTATGGTCTCTAATCTAGTTTTAGAAATTAAAATGCAAACTTATCTTCAGCGATGCCGTCGTTAGAGCCTTGGAATAAACTTGAATGCTTGTCCAATGACTTCATTAGTTTTTTTCTAACTCCAAATACTTGATACAATTTATCAGGTATGAGTCTAACAATTGCTTCCTCTTTTGAGAACTAAGTTGAAATAAATAAAACCTTTTTGCCTGCGATTCACCCTGATTATTCCGATTTCTAAGGTTCCTGTTTACCACGTATTTGAGGAAGAAATCGAACCAGTGGGTCTTCCCGAAAATGAGGACGATGACTTCTTAGAAATGTCCGAACGTGAATTAGACAACGCTACAAGTACAGTCTATCAGTCAGAGGCGTCAGGGACGCCTTCGGCGAGTTCGATTGGAGATGGTTATACGGAGAATAGCGTGGCTTACGAGGATTTCGTAACTGCTGATGACTCGGCGGCTCTTGGCATTCAGCCCACTGAAACCTGGGAGGCGGACCTGTTAATGTCGTTGACAAACATGACTGCGTAGTCTGTTTTGTCGATTACGGTTAGCTACGTCTGGAACGCTAGTGGTTAAACTTGAGTCGTACGACGGGGCTTCGTAGCTCAAGTGGTGAGAGCGTAGGCTGTACTGAAGCCTTCCCCTTACTATGTGGGTTCGAATCCCAACGAGGGGTCGAGTTTTTTACAGTTGGGTCAATAGGAACTAGTGGATCTTGTCAAGCAAACGTATCCTGCGTGCGTTCCGACTCTTTGCCCTCCACAAGGCTTAATATATATGCGTTTGACCCACCCTACGACGGCCTTATAGTATAGGAAGCTCTTCCTTCGAAAGTAGAGCTCTCCAGGCTGTTTCCGGTGCGTTTTTTCCATCTAACTTGTTGCCCAAAGTCGTTAATTTTATATAAAACGTTCATGATTTTCTCTCGTTTGACTCGAAACCTCTATGATCGCTTGGGAGGAAGAAAGGTGGGAGTACGCAGATGATTGTGCCTATTTTGCCTCCTTAAACTGTTTACCGTAAGTTGACCATGGTTTAGGTGCACTACCACACTGTGGTCCTGCAGTACCCAAAAGGAAAGCTTTTATGAAACCGGTATTTTAAATTTCCTTTTATCTCTTGCACAGTAGATGTGCTAACTCATGAAATGTCAATCAAAATTTCGAAATGCGTTCTCGTTTCGAAAAGATAAATTAAGTAATGTTGTAAAACTGATCATGATGCAACATAAATCTATAATGATCCAGTTACCGCAGGGTGTCGGCTTTCGAAAGAACTTATCTTCGGCTGCATGCAGGATCTATACTCTGCAAAAAATGACTACTTAAGTAGTATGCTATTTTCTTATTGATTTTCGATGCCCTTGGAAACTCAATTATATTTCATGGAAAACATGCATAAAAATATTCATTCTTTTACTTATTCGGTAGAAAATCATGTCTTCTTCCAATTTCATACTCAAAAGAAGAGTATAATTCGGTTTTAAAAAACTTTTATAATTCCCGAATAATTTTGAACCCGACCTGCTGTTACACTTGCATTCAGGGTTTCAAAACTAGAAGGCTTATATTTTCCGTGTACGGAAAACCATGCATTTCTCTACGGTGTTGAGAGGAGACCATATGAGGTTCATAAAATTAAGCAGTGGATTTGAGCAATATTGTTAACTTTACAAGCCAAATTCGTAAATGCAGATACATGACGTTTCATGAACGGCCATTTAACGGTATTAAAAAATCTCACAATTGGAAACTTTTTTAAAACCGAATTCTACTCTTTTTGAGTATGAAATTGGAAGAAGACGTGATTTTCTACCGAATAAGTAAAAGAATTAATATTTTTATGCATGTTTTCCAAGAAATATAATTGAATTTTCAAGGGCGTCGAAAATCAATGAGAAAATGGCATACTACTTAAGTACTCATTTTTTGCAGAGTATAGATCTTGCATGCAGCCAGAGGTAAGTTCTTTCGAAAGCCGACATCCTGAGGTAACTGAATCATTATAGATTTATGCTGCATCATGATTAGTTTTGCAAAACTACTTAATTTATCTTTTCGAAACGAGACCGCATTTCGAAATTTTGGTTGACATTTCATGAGTTAACACATCTACTCAACACGTGTATCTGCTCCAGAGGCGGTGAGATAGGACCGCTTGGTATTTTGTGCTTTAGAGCCTGCGGTCACGTACGAGCGTCTCACTGCTGAAAGCTGTGACCATATATGGATTCGGACGCGTCGTAAGTCAACGACCATGCGCTTTGCCATCTAAACGTCCGTTTAAGCGATGCATCTACCTTCGCCCGTATGATTGGCGTGTTTTCAGAGTCACCTTTTCCCGTCTCTTGTCTGCGCAGGATGTCCCTAATTACTCGCACAATCCAATTGCAGCCTTCGCGTTTGCAACGACCGCCATTGTAGCAGTGGAGAATTGGGTCGCCTGCAGAGTTGTACTTTGTCCGGCACAATCGATGCATGGGCGGGGGGGGGGTAGTGTCGGTCCTGGTATGTGCCACCCAGAAGCAAATCCTAGCATAAAATGCGTTTCCGTGCTGGGACACTTCAGAATCTGTGGTTCTGAAGACCCATTTCTTCCCCTGTCTGGTCGCCTGCTTAGAAGGCGACAATCTCTACAGCGTCAGGGTTTACTACGCACTCTGTTTACTGTTGCTCCGAAATTTCCCCGTTCGCGTTTGTGCGGTGATGAGTGTTCTCATGGTTTCTCCACGGGACGTATGCGTGCTGGTGCGCTGAACTAAGGCAGCAACTAGAGCAGATTCAGAATGCAAGCCAGAACAAATGACAACATTCCGGGTGTAGTGGAAGGTCCAGTTTCCGGCTCACTTTGCGCCACTCCCAATTTTTAATATTGGTTAAAGTCTTATTTAAGTGTTTGTAGTGGACCAGTGGTGTGGTGTTACGCCTAGGTGCGGGTCCGACCGTGCCGTCCACCTGCGCCCTCTCCCACCTTCGGTCTTCTTGACTGTTTTAACATCGGGCCAAGGTGAGGGAGCAGGAGAATGTGACAGACGCTGTGCAAGTCTGCACCACTATAAACTAATTCACGCACAAGTCACCGTGCCTGCTTTCTCCCTGCTGTGGAGCACACGGTGGACCTCATCGGCAACGACGGTCGAACTGTATGTGTGCCAGTGACGTTACACATGTGTTTCCTACATTGACTCCCAGTTACCAACGATAGATATCCAGACTGCCATAGCTGTCGGGCGACCGTATAGTTGGAATAACGAACAAGAGAAAGATGAGAGGGAAGAAGAACTAGAGTACCAGCAGACTGTCGCTTTGGATTTTGCGGTTATTTTAACCCTAGTATTTCCTCAGAATAGGGCTGGCGTCACAGAGAACACCGGCTTTTTTGAGACCACAGAGGGAGAAAACATGTGAAAAGGCAGTCATCTTATTTGCATTAATTTATCAAAACGTTTTATTCGCTTTAGGAGCCGTGCTACTGTGCCATTGATCAGATTTTCTTAAGACCATAAACCAAGTGCATACTGACTGTTCGGATCACTTGCGGTAGGAGACCACTGCGTAGATTGTCGTATTCGTAATGTTATACGCCAGTTTCCCAGCGAGCAGGCAGGACAACTGACTCCCAGCCTCCATGATGCATGCCAAAAATTCTACCTTATCGTGGTATTGTATTGTATTGTATTGTATTGTATTTTAGGGTAATAGGCAATGCCCTTGATGACCCTATTGAAAACGGTACATAAAATATAAATGTTAAATGCACATCTTACTAAAATTTTGTCAGTAACATATTTGTTCACGGGAAACTTTCACAATGCGGGACTGCTAAGCGTGCGGCAGGCGGTCTTCTCAGTGTACACATGAAATTTTAAGTGCAGTTATATACAATCAGCATAAAGTGCAGTCATTTGCATAGTTTGAGAGGGGGCATCTCATTAAGAGTCAGGGGTGTGTTAAGTAGGGATGAAATCAAGAAATGAAATTTATGGCTGGCCGCAGGTAGTCCTGTTGTGAAAGTCGTCGTTTATCAAATATCAAACGATCCAGCTGCCTTTTGAATACAGCGATTGTAGCAGATGTCACTATTTCACTTGGGAGTGAGTTCCATGGCCGAACAACACGCTGGCTGAAGGAAAACTTCCGATTGTCTAGGCGTGTACGCTCCCGCTTGACTTTGTAAGGGTGACCGCGCAGGTGACTCGTGGTCGTGAATTCAAAAAAGTCGTCAGTTTTGAGCGAACATCCCTGCCCGTGGATAATGCGGAATGTCCATAATAGGTCACACCTCATTCTTCTATAGGATAGGGGGAACAAATTTAACTGGATCAGTCTTTCTGGGTATGACAGAGTCCTGAGACCGTCCACCAGTTTTGTGGCCCGTCGTTGCACCTGCTCTATGGCATCACTGTCTTTCTTCATCCAGGGCATCCATGATGGCATTCCGTATTCCAAGTGCGGTCTGACGAATGTGCCGAATATCTGTGAGAAGAGTTCTGGAGGAAAGATTTTGAAGGCACGCCTAATCCAGTGCATGGTGCTGGTTGCCTTTTGGACGACTCTTTTGCAGTGCTGAGAGGGCAGCAAGTTTGAGCATGTCCAAACACCTAGGTCTTTGTGCGTGTCCACTTCATTTAGTGGAACCCCATTTATGATGTACTGATGTTTTGGGAAGCGCCTCCGTCCAGATTCTAGTCGCAAGACTTCACACTTGGATACGTTGAACGCTAGGAGCCACTTGCTGGACCACGCAGCCAGCTTATTAACATCTTCCTGTAGCTTTTGCGCATCTTCAACGCAGCTGATTGTTTTCCAGATCTTTATATCATCCGCAAACATGATGCCATCGCATTCAAGGTCTGCAGGACAGTCATTTATATAGATGAGGAAGAGGAGAGGACCCAAGACTGAGCCCTGCGGAACGCCGCTTTTTACTGGCACCCATTCGGATGTAGTGGCACCAACGATGACTTTTTGGAGCCTGCATGACAGGAAACTTTTAATCCAATTAAAAATGCTGCCCTGTATTCCACACTCCCAAATCTTCTGTAGCAGTCGTCCATGAGGAACGCTATCAAACGCCTTCTTAAAGTCAAAGAAGATGACGTCCACTGGACGGCCCTGGTCTGTGGCTCTTGTCCACTTTTCCTGAGAGTAAAGGCTGCTTGTAAGACAGGAGTGACCACGACGAAATCCGTGCTGAGCAGCACATAACAGGTCCCTCTGCTCCAGATACGACATTAAATGCCCTTTAATAAGTCGTTCCATTACCTTGCATAGAATGCAGGTTAAACTAATAGGACGGTAGTTTTCGGGTTCCAGTCTGGATCCTCCTTTATAGATTGGAGAAATATGGGCCGTTTTCCACTCCTCCGGCAGTTCGCCTTCTTCCATGGACTTCCGAAATATCATGGACACCGGCTCACAGAGTACATCAGCTAATTCTCGGAGGACAAGTGGATGAATTCCATATGGACCAGGTGATTTGGCAGGTTTCAGCCGGCGTAGTTCGGTCCTTATCAACGTAGGTGAGAA